TTTTTAGCTTTTTGCAGCACTTTTTAATTAAAGAGTTAATCCAAGTACAAAATTCACGCGGTGCAGCTTTTGTTCCTTTTGAAACCGCTACGGCATTGTCTGCCGAAATCTAATCTTTTTTAATTATAGAACTCGCAGTTTTCAGATTGCGTTTTTTAATTTCATTTTCTGTGCCACCGATACATTTTAATAACTCGACGTTAAACTGACAGCCGAAGCTTTAATTAGGCGCCGAGAGAGTCAATTTGCAATGCGCCGGAAGGCAAATTGTCGACCAAGTTTGCTTTGGAACATAATTTCATTCATTTTGAATTTGAATGTCTCGTCGTCGACACGCAGCCGCAATTAAAATGTGTATGTGCAGAGGAATAAAAACGTACTTTCAAGTGCCCACAGCAGTAAAAACACCAGAGACGGCGTGCGTTTGTAAGCGGGGGCAGACTGCTGGTCACTTAAAATTCCATTCGTTGCATGCCACGTCAAAATAAAGTCGGCGGGCTGACCATGACCGCGACCGGCCCAAGGCTGCGCGCTTATCACCGTTTAGCTTATCGTATCTGCAGAGCGTGCACGTGATTCATGGATTGCGCGCCCCAGCACTGCTGCCACCCCCGGCGAATGAATCATCCCCTTCCTCTATAGGCCAAATAGAGAGAGGGTGGAAATTGAAAATTACACGGAAGAAAGAGAGAGGGACGTGGATAAATGAGGAGACTTCTTGTTTCGTGCCACTTAATGAGAAATTTCCGACTGATTTTCCTCACAAAATATAACAATTTTATTGACGTTGTTTTGATTCTAGAAATAATCAAGAGAGTCAAGTTAGAGAATTGTAATTGTGTCGAAAATTGAATTTAGAAGGGTCCTTGAGCATTGATTGTATTTTTTTTTTTTTTTTACATTTTGATGAGGAAAACGCAATAAAAACATTTATTTATTGAGAGAAGTATCTGAAGAGCCTTGGAATTAGGCAAAATCAATATTGACCATTGTGTTTGTCTAATAATTAAGGAGTTTTATAAAAAAAAAGGTTTTGATTTTCTGATTCAAAACAAAGATATACTGCTGGCAGATAATGGATTTTTTTATTTTGCAAGATAAAATTTTTGGCATATATATCGTTATCTCAAAATAGTTTAGCTCTTTTGCTTCAATAATCCATTTAAAAACTTCATTATAATTAATTGTTTTATTTTTTTTTATGAATAATTATAAAAATTGAAATATTAATAAAACAAAAATAATTAAGGCTTTCGCAATTTTTTTATTCTTTGGATTTCAGATCTTTTAAGAGCCAAGCTGAATGGAATAAAAAATTATTGTTCAATTATTGTTATTTTTTCTTGTAATAAAACATAACTGAAGCATTGAGAATAATTAAATACAATTATAATAATTGTAAGTAAAAAATACTCAAATCAAGATCAATCTCATTGAAAGTCTGACGAATTGATGTGCACCACTCTTAATTTGCTATTCAAGAAATTTCAGCCAATTTGAATTTTAAATCTTATCGATTAGTACGAGCACGATTCAAGCAGACACTTTACTGCCGGTTCATGTCGCTGCGAATTTCTTTCTTATTATTCCGAATCGCCGCGCGGATCTCAACACATGTAACCAGAAACTGCTGCACGTAATTAATATGGCAAAATTGCTTTCCATCGCTGCGGCCGCGGGGCTAAAAATGCCAAACCGAGAGACTTTCCTTTCAATATACAACAAAAGATCCGCCGATAAACATATACTGTGCAAGCAATAATTCGAAAATCAATTGCAGTTTTCCCGTCACGACGCGATCGATGAATATTTACAAATACAGTCGCGAAATAATGAGATGGTTCGTCGCTCCCTCGTGACATATCGCTCCTCTCTCATTTACTGGTTGAATTCAACCGCACAATTGTCGGTCGGGGGCGGGCGAGTGATCGGATCGAGAGTGCAGCAAAGCAAAGAGGGTCACGATACCACTTCCTTGGCTCACGTTTCCACGCCGTTGTCGCCGCGCGAGAATGCGACGATCTCAGCACTCTTGGTTGTTTTAAAGAGCAACAATTTCTGTCAATTTCGCGTTGTCACCTTTTGTTACAGAAAGTCAATTTAAATTAAATGCCGTGCGTTTGCATTTGACAAAAGTGAGCGCAGATTTCGTTTCGGCACAGCGGGCAGAATTCTTTCTCCTTTCTTTCGCCCATTGCATGCCATTTCTCCGAGTCCATTTTTGGGCATCTAATTCGCGGCATCTGCTCGCGCCGGAGCAACGGGGTCACCCGACCGTCCGGCTCCAGCGTTCTGTCTGCGATTTTATTACGCCGAGTGACACCACATCTGATTATAACCCCGACATTTTTTCCACTTTCTCTGCGCTTTTTTCCATTTCGTAACGACTTGCAGGCGCGGACAAGCTCACTGATACGCGCAGACTGAGGTTTTGTGCTATTAATATTATGTAAAATAAGTTTATTTGCTTCATCTCCAGCGACAGATCACGATCCCCATTTCACTGATACTGCTTGTAAAGAAATATGCTCAGTTGCCATGGATATCTTTAAATGCAGTTACACTTTGAAGTTTGAGACGTTATTTCATTATCATTACAGAAACGGGTATATAATTTTAAATGCTCATGAAACGCGTTTTACTAAATATTGATTTTATTATGAAAGAAAATATATATGCTAAAAATGAAATATATTTTAAAAATAGGCAAAAAAATCTTCCGTTTGAATTTCCAAAATTTTGTATCATTTTTATTTATCTTTTTCAAAGTTTTATTATTATATATATAAATAATAAATTGAACAAGTTTTTGATTAACTTCAGTAAAATTCATTTTTTTTAAACAAAATCTATAAAAAAAATTAGCAAAATTGAATTTTATGGGTAAACGTAATTTTTGAAATTAAATTGAAAAATATGCTAAGATTCCTACATTGGTAAACCCCAAGACTTTTTTTGCTATATTCAACGGTGCTCAGGGCCCAGTCAAATTTAAAATGTTATTTAATTGAAAGTTGTGAGAGAAATTTTAAGTATTTGGCAAAATCTCAGCATAGAGAACACTTCTGTTGCTAACTTGCTCTTATTCTTATAAGCATTAATTTAAAATTTTGTGAATTACTATAATAATTGCCATTCCAGAAAAAAAACATTTAAAAAATTAAGAGAGTAATAATTTTATAACTTTCTTGAATTCTACAACAATTATCTCATGTTCAAACAAACAGTGCAGAATTTGAAGAATAATCTTGTGGGTCATCTTTAACACGCATACTAATTGTCCTCGTAAGAAACCCGACACGTCGAATAACATTTAGCCAGGGATTAAAGCTTCCTCAAGAGAGCAAGCAACCCTCTGTTCGCGTATGTGACACGGATGCTCACCGGCGAAAAACACCGGGGCGAGACGAACGTGTATGCTCGGCCGATCGGCAAATAAATAAAGACATGCACGCGGGAATCAGACTGCTTAAGGTGAGTCACGCTCGGGACAGAAAAGTAACAACGTAACTCGATTATCTGGCCGGCGGTTTGCAGCACCACGTGAGCTCTAACGTGGGGGTGTCCGTCGGTCTTTAGAGGTCTTCCTCGCTGGTCCTGCACCCACCCCCGTGTGCGCTTTACAGCTTTATTCGAATGTTTTTGGAGACCGCTCGGCGGATTATAGGCTATTGAACCGCCGATGGACGGACGGACGGGCGTGCTGCTGCATTAACGTGCATAATGCGCCTCACGCTGGATTATTTATCGTGCACAGTTCTCGCCGCCAAGCTCACCTATTCGACCGTGCGTGTGTTCTCCGATTTTTCACGCTGGGGCCCTTAACTGTTTTCCGAAGGAGTTTGTCAACGCCGATCGGCAACTTTGGCCCGCGAGATTTCGGTCCTTTGTTCACAAAGTGCATTCCCGATGGGGTTTGGCGAGGTATTATATATTTAAAGCCTGCAATAAAGTTGTCCCGTTTGGTCTGAGCGGATGGAATTCATTAGCGTGTATTTATAAAACGTTTAGGGCTTCGGCTGCTTTGATTGTATGGCTTTTTATGGAAGTTTTGGTATAATTAGCATCAGTGCTTGTAGCTTGTGGAAAAATTTTTGAATACAAATTTGAATAGGATTTTGCAGAGCTATTGCCATTCATTTTGCAAAGAATATTTTCAATTTTTTTTTTAAATTTTAATAATTTTAATGAAATTGTATTTCGTCAATTTTTCTAATATTCTCAACTAAATTGTTCACTTTTGAAACAGATGTTGACAAACTACTGATATTTTTTCTTCAATTCAACTTAAAAATATATAGTTAAAATAACATTTTTTTCTAATCTTGTGCATCATAAAAGTTAAAAAAAAAACAGAGTAATGCAGAATCCAGAAGACACTTAAAACAAATTAAATTTATTCAAGTTTAAAGTTTCATTTATTTTTTGCTTTTTGTTTTTAGTAAAACTTTTATGGTTGTCAAATATATTAAAAATTTGGAAAAACCGCACATTTCCACCAATGCATTAATTTTAATTAAGATTTCATTTCATAAATTGAATATTTGCCATAAATTTTCCACTACTTCATATTTTTTGACGAATTTTAATATTAATCCATGAAGTGTAAAGAGTAAAGTATTGAGCAATATAAATATATCAGTCCTTTATTCCAATGGGAAAATTTCGTCAATATGCCAACACGAAAGCTCAAATTTCTGTGGCAATACTGCCCAAATTCCCACGGTCCTGCCTGCAAACTCGGCCGTTACAAGATATCCACGCGTTTTCTACTTGATAATTTTTTTACTTCTCCGTGGCAAAAAAATGCAAACGAGAAACAGATCACCGGCGTTGCCATAAACGCCTTGACGATTCCGTCATCTCGACGGCATTTGAAAGAAAAAACACGTCCATATACGCACTAAAAACGAAGCGTCGGATGCACTTATATGCGAGGCAGGGGTGACGTCAGGAAATAAAAATAAGCAATTAATTTGCCGCACACGATCGTCCCTTACCTTAAAAGTATCCAAAAGAATGGCCGGATCGGCGTTTCACCACTAACATGTGATCCTCCCTCGAGGGAGCACTTTTCGTCGAGCACCGAACGCGAGGCACCACCAGTCGAGCTGAGCACCGACTGACTCTGCCGCGCACACACACGTCTGGCCGCAGCTCGCACGCCGACCCCCACCCCGCCCGCGAGAGAGGCCATTCATGTGTTCCTTCGTGCAGCAGATCTCGCTCGCTCTCCCTGCTGATGGACCCGACTGCTCAAAAGCCGCCCACCTACGTACTTACTTTTCCTAATTGCTCTGTGCCGCGCACACAGGCCAATGTGATGTACTCATTACCCGGCTGACAACGAAACAGAGACGTCGAGACAAGCAGCTGACGAACCGTCCAACCTTTAAATCACGATTTTCCACTTCGGCGTGCATATGGGAAGAGTTTTTGTGAACCAAGTGAGAGTAAAATTGCGCCGGCACGGATGAGATTGAGCATACTTAAATTTTCATTCAACATTTGCAGCCACGCAGGGAGGTAATAGAAAGAGCGCAAGATGGATATACAAAGTCGACAAATTTTTTTCACAGCGGGAATAATATTCAAGAAGCTATTAAAGTCTTATAGCTGCAAAAGAAGACCACTTATCTCAGCTTGAATGAACTGGAGTTTTAATCATTTTCGTAATAAAATTCCTGCAATTAGTTTTTATTGTAGCTTAATGGAGATTCTGTAAATTGTCACATTTTTTGAATACACGCAAAATTCAAATTCAGTTTAATTCGTATGTATTTAGATTAAATTTTTATTTTCAAGCTTGAATTAAAATTGATTGTCAGAATTTTTGTGAATGGCAATTAACTAGATTAAATTTTCTAGAAATTTGCCTTTTTTTCAGCTAATCACTAAAAACTTGATTATTTGTGAAAGCGTGATTTTGTTCTGTTTACAATTTAACCAGCGGACTAAATGGACAATTAAAATTTGCATCTCAGCCTGACGTGCGGCTCACTTGCCATTATTTATTCATCAGACGAGTGACAAAACGCATAGTAATGCCGATCCACGCAAGACACATTATCCTCTCATCATGTCACACAAATGCACACACACGGAGTGCAACGCGCTCGTTTTCACTTTTAAAAAGCATAAAATTATTGGTTATGCACACTCTTGTTAGCTCTATTCAATATCCGATGTCTTTTGTTCCGATCTTTCAACGAGAAAAGGACTGTTTGTGGGTAATAAACGCCTTGTTATGAGTACGCATAAAATTTTACACAGTGGATTTCTCTCTGCAATGAAAAAAAAAGACTTTAATATATTTTTTACTCCACCGGGTGATGGTCAGAAAAAAAGTAATAATTTTTGATACCCAGTCAAATTTTGAAAAAATAAATTAAAAATTACATAACGAGAAAGAAAGAAGGATGCCTCCCTATGATCATTAAAATACGCCCATAAAACCACAAACGATAAATTAGATTTTTGAAAAATATAAAATAGGCTTACAAGTTTGAAGTTTACAGCCTCATTATTTTCAAACTCCCTTCAATTGGGAGGCTCTGCTTGTTTCCTCGAACACGTTTCTCTCCTCGGCCCAACGGGGGACCGAAGGAGTGATGAGGTCGAAAGTGGAAGTCGGCAGCTTTTTTAATATAAAACGCACCGTGCGCGAATGGCTTTGTCGGCGACTCGAAAAAGTCGAATCCATCTCACGGATCGTCAAGGCCAATTAATTCAATATGAAGCTATTGTGTGCGAGTGCGCCAGTGACCCTATTGTCCTGGCAGACGATTTTCAGCGGAATTTCGTTTTCATCCAAGTCTTAATAAATAATAATTCTTTGAAAAATGGACAATTAACTTCGTGCTTAGAGTTATTCTATTCCCATAAATGTAGGAAAATAATTTTTAACGAATAGTAAAATAATATCCAAACTGATCCAAACTTTCTATTACAATTCAAAACTTCAACGCACTGTCAAATAATTAATTACTTCTCTTCGTCAAAATTGAATAGCACAATTCCAGGAAGGACTTGTCTTTGAATTTTCCACTCGCCCAGCGCTTTTCTTATTCCTCAACTCAACGCCGAGTTATATCGGTGCTCAAAGCGTGGAGAATTGAATTTGGTGGTTCCCACAATCATCATCGCGCCCATCAAGACTCGCTGCCTTTATTATACACGAGAGACCCATCTTTCCTAAGTGACACCTTTATTCCGTTAAGCCAGCGCTGAGACTTGAGAGGAAAACCAAAACAGCAGCACAAAGCGAAAGAAAGTTTTGTCGAAATCGGTTTCGAGCGGCGACCAAATTACAATAATCAAACGAGCTGGAGTCGGATAATTAATTTATTATGATTACGCGTCCACGACGGGAATCGTCGTATAATATAATCGGTGGCCTACTGAAAAGCTGAGAGAAACAAGGCTGCTCGCAGATCACGTTCCACAACGTGTTTGTTTTTCTCTTTGGATTTTACGACGAAGTGAAAACAAAAAGAAGAGAATTAAACCCTCCGGACGAATTAATCAAATGAAAGACATAATGGGTAATAAAGAGGAAAAGAGATAAAGAGCCCGCACGTTTCTCATTTTAATAGAGAATTATATATCTCGGAAGGAATGAAAATTGAAAAATTAATCACTTTCTAATGGTGCGGGCGAATTGAGGAGCTGGACGGACTCGAATGTGTTTACATTGAATTGAAGCATTAATATTTTTCTGGCCCGTTTCTCTAATGGCGTTTTGTACCAACAGCCCGTTTCGAAATTTCTTTTCAATGATTTATGCAGCGTCACACGCATTTGGGAAATTTCATCTCACGCTGTAGATGAAAAACAAACTGCTCCACGAAAGTGTCCCGAGAGCAGTCGTATAGTTTTCCTTGGCGGACCAAGTTAACACCACTTTGTTGAAATTCACACTTCACGCCGAAAGAGACGTTTTGGTCCTTTATCGCGGGAAACCTCTCTTAAAATAAAAGAGCGCGGCGTGTAAACAAATTGAATGCAAGTGGAGCTCGGAGAGGGAATTATTTTTATTGTCAAAGAGTGCCTCCTTTGTTCCATGTCACTCGATATTCGAGGAAATGACCGTTTTTGTGTGTGGTCAGCGAAGTCTTGTGTTTCGCCAGCACGAGAGCTGCCCTGGCCCAAATTGCACCTTTGTCTCGGCGCTAATTGAATTAAACTCGAACTCGCGGCGTGACTGCTCCATTATTTCAGATTGCCATTCGAATGGACCGTCGCTTCGGTGGCCTGGCGAGAGAGTTCGTCACAGTTTACCATCCAAATTATCAGGAGCATCAGAGGACACATTGCGTGCTTACATTTGGAAATCAAAAGCTTACAAAACGTATTTCAATAAAATCTTTTCTCCAGGCTTTTATAAGATAAGCCTATTGTAAATTTTAAATGGAAATTTTCTTAACTTGTCAAGGCTCAAAATAAATCCCTGATTAGCCAAAATTTTCATTAGATTAAAGAAATAAATTGTTAATTGAATTTAGCAAAATTGGAACATAATTAATAATTATTTATAAAGAAAAATTACAAAATTAGTTATAAATTACAATTTCTTTCTACTTTTGGGTTGAGTCTATTTTTTCTTCTCCAATATATAAATTTGGTAAACTTTCTTAAATTATTTTGGAACTCCTTCGAATTGAAGAGGTTTAAAAATTCCACTGGACCTCCTGCCAATAGCAAACTCATAACCCCTTTAATCACTTGGCGCTCTCGATCAGCGTTGCCTAACCACCTTTTAATAAAAAAACAACAAACAATTTTCAAGTTAATGCTGCCATAAATTTCAACTGCCGCCGTGTTTTTTAACCCTCAAGTGCCTCCAATTAAAAATAAATCGCTGACCAACTTGGCAACTGTTTCGATTCTCGTTTTCCGAACGGGTGCAGCAGGAAAGTAATTTTTTCGTTATTTTTGGAACTGCATTCTGCCTCCGAGTATCAGCTTGGCTCTGCTTCTTTTCTTTTGTGCTGTTCGCCACCGCAAACAAGCCGGCGAGTTTTCAAACTGGATCGAGAAATCACGATCGCGTCTTGTGAGGATCTTTTTTATTATTCATTACATCTAAACAGGCGTGTTCGCGTTGCAATCGGACAGGACGTGGAGAAAATTTCAATTTTCGCCTACGACCAACAAGACCCACACTTTGCATGATTTTGTTGCGGCGCCGTTTCCACTTGCCCACTCGCATCCTTGCCGCCTTTCTACCAGTAGTAATACATAAAAATTGGACGCCGACTGACTATATTTTATTTCTTTCGGATAAAATTTATCACGCATTTAACCACAGGGCGGGTATTTCAATGTTTTTTGATCAGAGATAAAGAAATATTAATTATCGGGAGTTTGTTTTGACGCGTGAAAAAAGAATTAAACCTGAAATTATCTAATAGCACGGAACTTTCTATATTATTTCTTTCTTTTCCTTACAAAATCAAAGAAATGAAATACGGGCAATAAATTATAAAAAGATAATTCTTTTCCCCCAAAAATGGAGTGTTTTCGAAAATCAGTCTCGGAGAAACGTGACAAAATCAAATTCCTTTCTATCGGGCAACGATTTCCTATCTCGCCTATTTTTGGCCAATAAACAATAAAACGATTGTGTACAAAAAAAGGACCACTCCTCCCGGGCGGATAAATATTTCGGTGTAAGCCCATCTTTATAAGCCTTTTCGGCGAGGTGCCTGTTTGTTTCTTCCTGCGGTTTATTTTTAAAATTTATAGCCGTTCCGATAAGTTAAGAGAGAGGCGCGGGAGGAACGAGCTATCTCGACATAATACACTCTTGACTTAATTGCTCCAGTTTCATGTATGCAGCAAAGTGCTGCCGCGTCTTTCTTCTTTCTCCCGCTGCTGGTCACTGAACTGTTCGTCAAACGTCCACGTGTTACGCATACTCATTACATTTAATACTTACTTTACATACGGAGAGCAAATCCTTTCCTCTTACTTAGATTGATCACAAACTCGCTTTCGTCCACTCGCTGCAGCTTCAGAGAAAGTTCTTCTCCGAGGGATTTGTTTAATTAGACAAAGAGCGCCGGATAAATAATTGCCCCATCATCGGTGATTAATACTCAAAGTCGAACACAAAAGGCGCGTAAGTCGGT